TTTAAGGAAGTTAACACTTACTGGACACAGAAGAGAAACTCGTAAACTGGTTGTTGCTATTTCACTGTCAGGATCTGCTGTTAATTTCTCTTTGACTGTCAAAGAAACAAAACAAAACAAAACAAAAGGAAAGCTGAAATCCCTTAAAAATATATATTACGACAAAAAGGGAACTGGCACAAATGTGGCAAGGTCAACTGAAGGAGAATCCTAATTGTGGAAAACTACACTTCTTGAGAGATCTAGAAACATGGCTAAAATTGTAAGAACAATAAGATACATGTACAACTGACAATGCTGCAAGAGTTTTATGAAGTAAGTAAAAGAGGCTATGGATGCAGGAAATGTAGTCTTAGAATGAAACTCTCTTAAGGCAAGGGGAACAAATGGTTTGAAAGGATCCCAAATGCAACACATAAATCTCATACTGTTCCTCCCAAACTGAAGGGGTTCCTCAATGAGCTTCAAACTCAGGCCCCTTCAATTCAGAAGTGTTCACATCTTAGATGCCTTTAAACTCTACTGAGAAAATTAGAGTTGTCTTCCACAGAAAGTGAAGTCTCTGCCTGGAGTGTGGTCATCTAGGAGTGGAATGCAGCCATCATCTGCCCTTTGTTCCAGGAATCTTGAACATTTAAACCTTTATCAAATAAGAGAGCAGTAGCCAAGCTTCCAAAAGAGGAAAAAAGGTATCAGCTATAGTTACACAGCCCTGGTAGTACCTATCCAGTCAACATTGTAACCTTCAACTGACTTAATACTAGAAAGCTGCATGTAAGTACACAGACATACTTAGTGCTCTAGAATGGTCAGGATTCCTTATGCCTTTTGCCCGTAACCTCTGCAGCAATACAGAAGACGACAGCTGCTTGACAAGGTAGACTGCCATAGAGTAAGTCTGTGAGGAAACAAAACACGAAAAATAGGATCAGCTTCGCCAGCTAGGATACCAGTCTATTTAAAATTTCAAAATTCCCACACAATGTTTTTCAGGCTTTATAAATTGCAGCAAAAATTAAACAAGCAGTCTGAGAAGGAAACAAAAAAGTAGAGTTGAAGAAGAGCAGTGTTTCTTTTATTGATCTGGGACTTAATGTGACTCACACTTTGGATTAAAAGCTTATCCTCCTAAGTTTGGATCACTCCAGTAGAACAGAATTACGAACTGAAAAAAATGAACTGTTTTGGTTTGTGGTTCAGTCTGTGCAAGCCATTTTGCTGAAACAAAATGCCAAGCTTTTTTCCAAATCAGTGCTTTGCTTTGACAAAACGAATGCCCCACTGTCCACGTCACCTCCCCACCTTGTCCTGCTTTCTCCTCCTCTTCTTCCTCCAGCAGCCTGGCTTCCCTTCCAGGAGCCAGGGCTGCCATCTCTGCACATGAGCAATGCCTATCAGCTGGTAGGAATGCACAGAGACAGAGCTGGCCTAGATCGCAGAAAAGAAGCTGGGCTGCTGTCTCTGAAGATAGCAGCAGTGGAGGAGGAAGAAGAGCAGGCAGCAGGAACAGGTGAGGAGGCATTAGACACAGGCAGCGAGAAGTGCATGGGCTGGCAGCAGAGATGGTGGAGGCATTAGGTTCCCTGTCCCCCCCCCCAGGCATGAACTGGAAAAGCAAACTGAGAACTGATTTGTTTTTCTGAGGCTTGGGGGGGGTGATTCGTGGGTAGCCATAAACCACCCCAATTCATCATTTTTCTGGTTTGTGCCCATCTCTACTCTCTAGACCAGGGGTCCCCAACCCCTGGGCCATGGACCGGTTCCAGTCTGTGGCCTTGCCAGGACAGGGACACGGAAACAAATTTCCTGCCCCCTCCGCATGCACAGATGCACGCACGGCCCCTCCCACAAACACACAGCCCCCGCCCTCCCCGCACACTAAACCATTCCATGGAGGCAAACAAGTTGGGGACCACTGCTCTAGAAAAGGCTCTTAAGCACAGTGAAAAAGTATGCTGAACTTGATTCTGAATCCAAGTCTAAATAATACAGCATCACTTGGAAAGTTAGTAGAAATACTTTCCTCATTACACACGCAGACAACTGTAGTGTATTTATTTAATATTTCAATTAGCATAAAAGACAGTGAAAGTTAACTTTCAGTTAATAATGAAAGTTTTAAAATTTTTATTAAACAAAATCGAAGAAACATTAAAAACATCTAATGACACATAACAAAAGAATATAAACATCATGCTTCCCCATCCCCCAGAACCATTTGGGAGCTATAACCATTTCTCCCCTCCTATGAAGTCCTATTTCCCTTGCACTGACGCTTGTGAAGGTGTATGTCCCTTTCCCCTTATCTATTCTCTTCACCTTCTGCTTCCAGTAATATTTTATACATTTTATTCAATCTCCCCTTTATTACCTTATTTTCACTAGACTTCCTTTTTGTAATACAATTTTTTTCAAATTTTGTGCATTCCCTATATTTACTATTTCATTTCACTCAATCCTCTGTCCACTGCTTTAAATGAATAAGATTAAACCAAGAAATCCCATTCATTCCTAACCCTTCTTTTATTTGTTCCTCATTTTTTCTACCCAAACTTTTATCCTACTAATTTGTTTCTTTACTTTTTTCTTTTCAGGTTACCTGGGAATTTCTCCAGCTCTGCTACTAGATATAGTGAAGAAATTGATGGAATAAATATTTTTATATACTTATTTCAAATTAAAAGCATATTTCAAAAGAAGGTATTTTCAGTATTTTTTTAATACGCTCTTATTATAGTGTATAAAAATAATGTTTTGGGAATTCAGATATAATTACAGTGGTGCCTCGCTTAGCGACGTTAATCCGTTCCCGGAAAAACGTTGCTAAGCGATTTTTAAAAGGCCATAAAAACGCATTAAAACGCGTTTAATGCGTTCCTATGGGCTTCAAAACTAACCTTATGTGAAGATCCTCCATAGGGGCGGCCATTTTCGGTGCCTCTAAAGCAAGGACACACAGGGGGCAGCCATTTTGAAACCGCCGATCAGCTGTTTAAAAAGGGTCACTTTGCCATGATCGCTTCCCAGTGATTTTTCCCCATAGGGACCATCGCAAAGCGATCACTTTTGCAATGGCCAAAACCCCGTCGCTAAGCGATTTTGTCGCTCAACAGAGCGATCGCTAAGCAAGGCACCACTGTATTCTGTTTGCATATTAAAACATATTTGTTTATTCAGATACAATATCAATTGTATGTCGTATTTAATTGACTATATGATATAACCCAATACAGTGGTGCCCCGTATAGCGAGGTTAATCCGTTCCGGATTAACCCTCGCTATACGGAATCATCGCTAAACGGGTAGGGGAAAGGTATTGGAACGCATTAAACTTCGTTTAATGCGTTCCAATACCTTCGTTACTTACCCGTTCAGCGAGGATTCCAGGTGCCGGCAGCCATTTTCGCGCCTTCGCTAAGCGAGGGCAGGGCGCGAAAACGGCTGCCGGCAGCCATTTCTGGACTTCCGGCGGCCCCTTTGGTACCGCCGACCGGCCGTTTCGGGGGT